CACACACGCACACATACATATATATATACACACACACACACACACACACAAACTTTTTTTTATAAAATAGGTATTGAAATAAGCATTGTTTAGGAATTGGCACTGAAGTCAATGTATCTGTATCGGTACTGAAAATTTTGGAATATACCCAGTCCTAGTTATCACACAGGTATTTCTAAGATTTAATTGAGAAAAAAAAAAAAGATGTGGGTTCAATTAACAAGGCCTACCTCAGAGACTGAGCCACAATGTTCTCACATATTGTCAAACAGTGAGTCACCCTGTCCTTCTTTGTGGTAGCCTGTTCCTTTTTCCTGTGAGAAAGGAAAGATGTAGAGCATAAGAAGTGACATAAGATAAGAGGCAGCAAAAGACCAGGAGAAAGAGAGGCAGAGTCCAAAGTAGCGCTTTACTGATGTGGCCTTTAATTAAATCTCTTGCCTTATGTACCAGAATGAATATAAGCAGTCAGTGCCACCCTATAAAGTAACACAACACTGCTAAAGTCTGCAGAAGTCAGCAAACATCCCCATGAGGGCATGAGAGGAATCACTGTGTACATTTAAACTCAAGATAAATATGGCAGTATTCTTGACTAAAAGGGAGAAATGTCCACTTCAAATGCTTTTAAGTTTCAAGATGCAGCATCACAAACCCTATCACTTTCTGTGGAACATACTGTTGAGTAAAGTTAATGAGGGGACATTATATACATGCATCTAAATAAGGATAATCACCTTTATTTGGCCAAGCATGTTACACAAGGAATTTGCTTCCAGTACAGAACCGAGGCAGCCATCTGTGGCACCAACTCAACCGATGGCTCTAACCATAGGGGGGCTCAACTTGGGGGTTCAGGGTCTTGCCCAAGGACACTTCAACATGTGGACTGCAGACATCGTGATTCGAACCCCCAACCCTCCGGATGGGAGATGACCGCTCTACCCACTGAACCACAGTCACCCACATGAAACATCTAACAAACAATCAACTGTATGATCATTTTGGAGGCCGCAGTTTATATTGCCATTGAACTATGTTTCTGTTATTTAGCCTAGCCTAAATCAATTAAATGGGTTGGGCAAAGTGTTTGAGTGAAGACTTTCTAAACACTATAGCCATTATACAAGTGCATGCTTGCCTAAAATCTTGCCTGACTTGATCACAATTTGCTGCAGTGTCTTGCCCCTATATGTCACACAGCAGCAAGGCAGTTGCAGTTTTGCTGCAACCATTGCTTTTCACCCGCTGCAAAAGCTCAATGTATGATGAGAGAGACCGGGCCTTCCACAAAGATCTTATTATTAGCTCACCACAGTTAAAAACAGTTTCAAGATCCAACTCTATCCAGGATAAAAACTTTCAGACTTACTTCAACTGTTGCCTGTTGATGTTCAAATACCAACACCTCTTAACCACTTAAGTGCTGAGGACAATCACACCAATAATGCATTTGTCATTCCCTCCATAGATATAACTTGACATACAGCATCTCCTAAACACGATTGAGAAGGCTGAATTATACAGATGGTTAGATGGTAGTACTATTACTACATGACATATCTGTATTCCCTGAGCAAGGGCATGACAGAACATGGTATGAAGCCCTAATCGCTACAGCACCTTTGCCTCCTTCATGGATCAGGATGGGGTGCGACTGACAGGCTTAAATCACCTTAGTCGGGTAGGCTCTCATGTTAACGCACCCCACTCATCGGCAAACGTGGCTGTACCATTTACATTTCTGTGCAATTTATTAGCTATGCAATCTTACGTTCAAACACAACTTGGTCAACTAAGAATGAGTTATCATATTATGTAGACAATGAACTTTTTAATTGGTCCCTTCTCCGGTGCGTGGGCTTCAATTAGAAGACGTCTCCTGCGTTAGCAGACGTTATCATTCAGCTAGTCTGATCCTAATAACCCGCTTATCATTATCTAACGCTCGGATAATGTTAATATAAAGGAAATGAGCCTCCTTACGCACTGGTGCAAACGCTGTCAAAATGTAGGTCTAAAACAGCAGACTGTTTAAACAACAGCATAGACTGTGGCTGTTAGTTTGCATGTTAGCGTAGCCAGCTAACTATTAGTCCGTGGTTACATGAACAGCAGTAGCGTTAGATAGCGAGCTGAGCTGCCTGGCTAACCTAGCGGCTGTTAGCCTTGCTGTGCAGTCACTGTTGGACACATATCCACTTACTGCCTCTGTACGAGCTCCTCGGCGGTTGGTGGTCCTTGTTGCTGCTGAAATGACTTCAAAGACTCAAAGGCCTTCATCAGTTTTTCCATGGTGGCCATTTTAGCAATCAACGGTAAGAAGGCTAGCTTGGCTAGCGACTATTTACTGTCTGAGCTAACTAGCACAGCAGGTACAAGTTAGCGCACGCACAGAGAGCAAACGGTGTGTAGTGTGACGAGAGTGCTAACACTGCTCGCAACAACTACCCCCGGCTCTCCACTTTATCCTCGTGCAAAATGTCTCTTATTGTTTCACAGTGTTATTCCCTAAAAACAAAACGCTGGTGGATAATCAGCCATCTCTACCGCAGCGTTACGTTCTCCCAACAAATCACATCAGGAAGTGGCACATGTGACAACTTCACAGACAGGAAAAGGGCGTTACATCAATGGCCAATCAGGCAGCGGTTTTAAGTTGAGTGACCTGACAAAGAACCAACGAATGGCCGTAAAAATTTTAATTTCTTTTGTTGCTGCTGTCACGAGACAACTGAGATCCAGATTGTAAAACAGATTTGTGCTCAACCAATATTGGTGTCTGGTTTGTGCACCAAGAATGATGAGTGGTATGCTGCATGTCCTAGAAACAGAATCAAAGAGAAAAACGCGCACAGGAATATAACTTTCTCAATTTAACATGCACATTTAAACTGTAGTTCATAATTCGGTGCACGTTAGATCCCAAGACTCGTGAGTATACGGAGTTAACTGGTTAAGGTTAGAGGATGAGGGTGGAGCCAGGTTAAAAATCATAAGACACCATCGGTTAGGGGTTGTAGTGAAGGTTAGGTTCACCCAATTTACAACGAAACTGACTTTACTTCCCTCCGAATCTACTCCCGATTCTTGAGAGCTAATGCTAATCTCTAGAATCTAACCTAACCCACCACCTCTGACTCAGCGGCAAGTGAATGGAGAAAAGTCCGGCTACTGACCTTAATAAAGGTGAAATGCCCAAAAATTTAATTATAACAAAACAAAAAGAGATGTGACACGAATAAGTCAAAACACTAGTATTTTATAGAAATGGCAGTGTATTATTTCATAATTACAAATGTCAGATATGGTACAACAACCAGTGATACAACTTGTACAAGAATTAACAATGACTGCAGTGGTTGAACAACATGACTGTACAGAAACAAACAAACAAACAAAAAATATAAAAAATAATGAAGTCCCAGGCCCAGTTTGAATACCACTAACGCATTTGTCATTCCTTGCTTAAAAAAAAATCACTTAACAGATAGATCTGGAGAGGGGAGTATGAACCCCTGGAATACTTGCACACTTGTATCCGTGATTATGCCAAAACTAGACTCGGGTGACAAAGAAGAACTGAGGATCTCTCACTTCTAAACATGATCCCAGGGCTTTGGGGGACTAATTCACCATCAGCACCTTGCAGAAAGGCAGGGGAGAAGGAATACTTGTAATGTATTCAAACTGGGCCAGCTAAGCTGGTCGCCTTGCCATTTATAAAGTTGTCCTCAAATACCAGTGAGATAATGTTGGCACTAGAAGGTCATCATTTACATATACAAGGAACTTGAAGTATTATAAACCAATACATGCTTGAGTATTAAACATATGTATTATTTTAAAACAGGCATTACAATGCACTTAGTGCGGACATTCAAAACTGTTGAGCTGTTTAAAGTTCCTTTATGTGAGGAATTTCTTTCAGAATGGACGGAAGAATAAAAAGGTTGAAAAAAGGCAGGATGAAATTGATAATTGGCACGTGTAATAAAGGCCGTCAGTCATTCTTCAGTGAATTCTTCGGACAGCAGAGCAATTTTGATTTACTTCAATGTTGCTTTTGGTATCATTGGGAAAAAATTAAATACACTTCCTATAGTCATTGTCAAAACCCATCAAAGTGCAATGAAACTAACAATTTCTTTACCGCTATACTGCATGGATGGTATAAGAGTAAAGTCTCTCCAACAATGACAGAGGCATGGGTGGCAAACAGTGAATGTGTTAGAGCTTAGTTATATCATGTTAGAAATACATCATTTACAAGGTTTTTGAGGCGGCAGAGCTTAAAGGCTAAAATCTACATGGGCAAGAGAAATCAGCTTCAAAATGTGCCTGAGAGCAACACAAAATAACAAAGACACTCAGAAACTCAAGTGACAACAAGCCAGCAACAGCTAGATACACACGTTAGATTCCTGATTCTGGTCATGGAATGTGCAAGAGGGGTTCAACATTTTAGAACAAGCCAACTTGCCAGATTGATTGGTTAGATGACTGTATGTGTACCACTTTAAGTATATGCCTCCTAGAATTATTAGACATTCATTCAAATCTGTGCATGTCTTGAATTATTATATCACAAAATGCAGTTTTTGTGGGTAAAATACAATCCAAATGAATTAATCTATTAGGTAACTAATTCTAATTCTGATTTACTTCAATGCATCAAATTGAAACAAAAGCTGCATTAGCGTACAGTGTAATATTGACACAAAACTAACATGTCCAGATTGGGTATTCACAGCATTAAAACAGGTGATGGGGAATAAACAGCAACAGCCTCAAGAGCAAAATGTCTTCAAATGCCTCTGAAATGCCAATGAATACTGATTCTAACATGTTTGGAAAATATTTGTTCATGATTGGTTAACTTGGAAGGAAACACTTCTTTAAAGATAAAAAGAAGTGCACAATAACTGTGGCTGGTTAAGTAGTTGAGTGTTCCTGTATACAGATGAAAATAACTCTGCAGGCAGAAGTTTAATCATGATTCCCCCATTTCCTTACTCTCCTCACAAATACAGTACATGGACCTGTCTCAAGCCATTCCTATGAGAGAACAACATACAGGATTCAAATGGAATAATTAAAGGTGGATGCTATTACAATTAACAAACTTCATCTTTATCACAAACACAGCTAAAGCCATTAAATCTTTCCATGGTGCTATCTACTGTATGATCATCGGGCACTGAGGCCAGTGCAGAAGCTAATAGCTGCTGACAGCTGAATCAATGGAAGTTAGGTTGAAGCAACAACAATTTCTTATTAAGATGAAGCCACTGTTAGTTGCAGGTCAGATCTGTTACAGTGCCATCATCTGTCCCTGTGTTCAAACTCATTCTCCAGTCAACCAGTTCTGGGCTTTGTGGTGTATGGCTAGCAAATTACTAAGAAAATTCAAGAGAAAGGATTTGGCCTTTGGACAAAAAAAATAAATAAATAAAAAGCCAGGCAGCACAATAAAAGCAGAAAAAAATAAAGAATAATAATCACCAAAAAATGTTCTGCCTGAGTGGATAATGCAACATATTTAGTTAACAGCTGTGCTCCCTAGGGTAACACAGTTGAATCTGAAATGAATGTTCTAAGCCAGTTGCAGCTCATGAGAACATTGGAGAAATCTAAGAATGTTAACTATCAGGCCTGGTGTCACTGAAAATGGGCTCCATAATATATCCTTTCTAATTTAGGATACTTAACATTGCACACACTGACTTAAAGACTGCCAGAGATAAAATAAATGCCATCTCTACTAGAACTGAACCAGTACAGGAACCTACTACACACCAGTCTGGTGCAACCTACCTAATTGGACTGCGGGAAGGACGTGGATTATCAAGATTCTGGACATTCAAAACCAAAATCAAAGGGGTAGGTGGACATCTGGGGAACATATGGTGAACTGTAAGCAGCATGGCATCAACACAGTAATATTAGCCTGCCCCCCACCCAAAAGAAAAACACATTTGGCTCTATACTCTTCATTCGGATCTACCTGAGCCTTGTAGGGTACAGAGGCTAAAGGTTAGTTTGGGATCTGATGCACTAACATCACGTTGGCAAAATCAAAGCCAAACATAAAGCACATATAAAAACAAAATGGCCTTATGCTACATTGAGAAAAATAAAAAGACTACTGGTACTGTGCTTATTAAAAAACTCCAATACACATATTCCATACTCATTCCAAAAGAAGATAAAAAGGAAATAAAAATGTAACGTATGCATTCAAGTGGTACTTTTATGGCTTTTTATACAATACAACCCTTAGTGAAAATATACATCTAGACATAAATTCAAGTACAAATGTACAAAATCTTTAAACTCATACTTTTTTCTTTAATTATAATACACTTTTAATACAGCTCATAAATACAGATCAACATTCACTGAGTTCCTAAGATTTGCGCTCGGCTGGAGTTTGTGGTGAAGTTCAGCGGCGAGAGGTGGAGGAGGAGGAGGGTGGAAGGAGTGGTTTAAATTCGTGAGGGCTCTTCAATCTCGTCATCACTGTAACCGCCCTTAAAACAGACCTGGAAGAACCAAAGTGAGGCTAGGTCACTAACATTAGCAGCTGTCATCACTACGTGGTCTCACAAGTGCAAGATGATGTCATATTCTCCAGAAACCCCAGTCTTGACTTAACCACATCACAGGTAGTATTGCTGTACCCAGCACTTAGACATGCCCTGTTGTAAATGAGCTCCAACCAGCTGTCTTGTGGCAAGTTAGAAGAAAGACATTAGACATGCAGCAAGGGTACATCAGCAAATACCGAATTAAGGTACGAATGGCTGGATCACAAAAAAAGAACGTGTTTCTTAAATGCACTACCACTACTTAAAAAGGAGTACTTTTGTGCTGATATGCTATGATAGATAACACTGTAATTGTCTATTTACTAAGAGTTGCCTTACCTTTGATAGATGTTCAATTTTAGTGTATTTTTCTGAGAATATCAGATAGAATATAACCTGCCCGCAGTCGCCTGCTCAGGCTGAATACTGTCCCAACATCCTCCACCAACAAGGTAGGGCAACCTGAGAAAACGCATCAAAAAGCGCTCACCGCTGTTCATGAGTACACTGTATAATCATTTAATTCCTAATTTAAGGTGAGTCAGATGAGCTTGTTGACATGTGATTAATTCACAGCTTCTCTCATCTGGATTTTGGCAGACGGACAGCGCGATCGCTGTTCAGAAAGACTAGAGTAAGAAACTATCAGCAAAAAGGTGTTAGAACCACTTCTCACCACTGACAACATTTTTTGGTTATGTGTTAATACATTTAAAATATTATTGACAAAGCTTAATATCAAGTCTTTCCATAACCACAAACCAGCTCTGTCAAGAAAAGATTTCTCATGTTTGAGCTTCTGCAGCAAAGCAACATAGTAACAACTACAAGAGAGAGAATATGCAAGAGGGTTACCAAGGAACTGAAAATTCCAGTTCAAGAAAAAGAGAAAGAAAGGCCTTATTCTAAACAACTCACTTGAAATAGAAACAATAACCAAAGATTCAAATTTCACAAGGGTTTATTAATAATCCTTCACAGGTTGAGTTTCGACTTGGCATGGGGGAAAAAAAAGGAAGAAAGGAAAGTAGGAAGGAAGGTAGTACCTTAGCCCCCACCCCCTCGGACAGTTGCCGAAGCACTAGCACTTGCCTCTCTTCTGAACAGGCGGTAGAAGAAGCCTCTCTTTGGTGGAGGGTTAGGTCGGTTCATGTCCAGGTCTGGGCACAGTGTCCCGTCTGTCTCATAGACGTTGATTTCTTTGAAGCACTCCATCTCAATCATCTACAGAGGACAAGAGGTTGAGTTACCTATCCTGATAACTTACAGTTCCACAATACACCTGTATGTCTGTGTAGTGCTGGGCACCATTTGTTTATAACACAGCAATGCGTTTCAGTGTCTGTCTTATTTGTACACACAGGATGTAATTGAGCATCTCCACATATCCACCTGACTAGCTCACAGGCAATGGCAAATTAACATTTAGAGGCATTCATACTGATTTATCCTTCTACATGACTCTTAATGGAATGTTGTTCCTTATTTATTCAGGTATTGTGATGTGACCATCAGTGCTGTACTGCGTTGTGTTTGACTGCTGTGGGACTGAATGATGACATCATCTCTGATGCCCATGCCTACAATACCTCATTCTGCCATGGGATGGAGACACTGCCTGTGACAAACTTATGGTAGAAGTCATCATCCGTGGGGTCAAGGTTTACACCTTTGACAGTGGAGAACTGCTCGATGTCCAGGACATCTTTACAGTACACTGCCCGAGGCTGACAGAGGAAAACAGAAATAGGGATAAACAGAAGGATAAAATACAGTGTGGCAAAGAGTTAGAACGACTGTGAAGAGTGTACTTATTCTGAATGAAGTGGGGGGAAATACTACACCTGAGAAATGTCAAACCAGATGAATAATTGCCTAACATACATAGTTTAACAGACCTGAGCACTCTTTACTGTTCAAGTTTTCTCAGTGTGACCCCACTGACCTAAATAACTAAAAATGGAAGCACAAATAACAATATCTAACATCTCAGGTCACTTTCCTCACTCAGCCTATACATGACACTAAAAATGGAAGGATTCCTTCTATCAACATCTTTGTTATCCCAGGCAAACAAAGGTCTATGAGTGAGAAGGTAGTAGTCTGTATTGCACTCCATAGTTGCACATCTTTACATTTGAGAGTTTCAGGACATAATGAACACAAAGCTACTATAAAGCGACACTGGAGGTGTTAGTGATGCTTGCTGTAAAATAGGTCAACTGTGCTTTAATTGTTATACAAAAGATGTTTTCCATTTTATTAGCCAGCCTGGGATTTCAAAAGATGACACTGAAATCACACGCCTGCCACCCTCACTGGCTACTCTGATAACAAGCTTATATACTGGTGTTTGTTTAGTTGTGACAATGGTATTTTGTGCATGCTGATTTGCAGCTAGCCGAGGTTTTAGGCAACAAGCCATGCGAGTGTGTGTGTGTGTGTGTGTGTGTGTGTGTGTGTGTAGCTCTTACATCAGGGCTGAAGGGAGGGTCTAGCATGTTGGCCTCCAGCCGTTTAAAGTTGATGTTTCTGAAGATAGGGTGCTGTTTGACCTCGATGGCCCCGCCACCCTGACAGCCCAATCGCTCCTTGGGGTCCTTGGCCAGGAGCTGACACGTAGCAGAAGAAAGGGGGGAAAAGAGACTAAATCTCTGTAACCATCTGAAAGTGTGTCCTTACACCGCAAGATTGTTCAAATTTCAAAAAAAAAAAAAAAAAACATCAGTGGCATTCGTTCTCTATTTAAGCCTGTTTATCAAAGAAGGGTTTCTGACAGTTTTAGGACTAATCCCTTGAGTTCAGTGTATACAACATAACACATGGACATAGTTTGTATGTAATCATCGTACCTTTGTGTATCTGACCCTGCATAATCCAATAAAACTGGTACAAATCCATACACTCAGGGGTTAATGCAAAGCCATTATGGACAGAATTAAAGAGTGTCTCAGTGAGAGCTCCTGGATAACATCATCTCCACGCCACCTACAGTACAGCAGGCTTATGAAGTGGATGAGTGCTGTTTAGTGGTTTGGCTACTAACGGACACTCTCACTGGGCCAGTGGTTACCCAAAGCTGATGGCTTTCACTATCAACAGACTGATGGCCTTTCACTTTTTCACCACATCTCTCTTTCGCTATCTAGTTCCCTTTTGTTTCACTTGTTCTTGGTCAACTCTTGCCCAGTTTACACCAGAGTTCAAAGCAGACTCACTCTCACTTTCTGCTCTTGAAAACTTGGATCACTTGTCTATTTTGGGCTGTAGTAATCCCCCCCCCCCCGCCACATTCTCTCCCCTTCTTTATCTTTCTTCCATTTCTTACTGAAACCTTTCTTCTCCCCGCCCCCCTCCTCTCCCCAGGGAATCTTTGAATTTGATGAACCTAGGTCAGAATGTTCCACCGCGTCACACAAACTGTCTCATCCCCCCCTGCTTGCAAACAGAAAGGCCCACAGGCTCCCTCTTAGAGAGCAGAACAGCGATATCATGAAGGGCAGAGGAGGTTGTAGTCAAGTTGTAATACACTATTAATCTCCTTAAACTTACACTCATCAAAACAGTTCTATACTCAGTGGGTGAAATGACTATGTAATTTGTCATTATGGCTCTTCTAAATGTCTGATTCCTTGTGAATAAGACTTATCTTATTCTTTGGATTTTATGTTGTTAGCAGAGGCCTGGGTGACAGTTGGTGATCTCAGTCCTTTTTTAAAACTCCTCCCACCAAACTGTCCTTTTTTAAGTTCTTCACAGATCCTGGATAAAGGTGGTGGTATTGCCACCATTTTTAATAACTGTTTTAGTTGTCAACAAATCACAGTGGATTCTTATTGTAGTTTTGAGTTGCAGCTATTTGTTTTAAAGATTAATTATCCTGTTCTGTGTGGAGTCATTTATCATCCACCTATCTGATATCTTGCTCAAATATGATCAAGTTTTAATCTGTAGAGATTTTAATATTCATGTTTGTTGTCCTGCTGACTCAACTGGAAATGATTTTAAGGACCTTATTGGTTCTTTTACTTTTTCTCAATGGATAAGTGACCCTACACATATTCAAGGACTTACCCTTTGGTCTCACAATTCCTATTAAGGAAGTTATGGATTATGGGATTTCTGATCATCTGCCCATTTTATTTGATGTGGTGGTATGGCATCCCATTCCTACTACGCCAAGTTGGCCTACACGATGTTGCTATGCTATTAACTCCAATACACCACCAGTATTTTCTGCTGCTTTTAAGGAGATTCAGTTTTCTACCCAGTTGTTACTACACAATAACACCTTTGCAGATGGGTTATGGTCTCTATTTAGTTCCATGTGTACCGACATTTTAGATTCTTGTGCCCCACCTGTTCCTATGAAAGGTAAAACAAGTTATGAGCCTTGGCTTAATGAAGATAGCCAAGTCCTCAGACATGCATGTAGGAGGATTTTTATAAATAAAATTGTTTTGATTGATCCTCAAATTGGCCTTCCTACTATGGATCTATCTGCTGTTTCATCATGGTTGACTATTTTTGAACAGTTTATTCCAGTTACATTAGTCCAACCTTCAAATGTGGTTTGTAGTACTAGACCTGTTTAAGGATGTCTTTGAGACAATTGGCCGAACTAGTTTGACAGTTGTTAATAGCTCTAAATCTTGGCTCTGCTCCCTTAGTTTTTAAAAATGCTGTGATTCAACCCATTTTGAAAAAAACAAACTGGATACCTCTGTCTTGTCCAACTTTAGACTAATCTTGAAACTACCATTTTTATCTAAAGTTCTTGAAAAAAAAAAAAAACAATTTTATGGTAATAGCCATTTTTAGATGAAAACTGTATCTTTGAAAAATTTCAATCTGGTTTTAGGTCTCATCACAGTACAGAGTCGGGACTGCCAAGAGTCTCCAGTGATATCTTGCTAACAGTGGATGAGGGGGATTGCTGTGATCTTAGTCCTTTTGCATCTCTCAACAGTCTTTGATACTCCGAATCATGATATTCTGTTACATAGACTTGAGCACCATGTTGGTATCCATGATACTGTTTTGAAATGGTCTAAGTCATATTTGTCAAATAGGGGTAGTTTGAGAAACATCTTGAAAAACTAGGAAAATATACTGTATGTACTTTGGGATGAAATACAGTCAGTTAAACAGCTGTGACTTCTGCTTTTCTTGTTTCACTGCGTTGCCTGAGTACGTGGCAGGTAAAAAAATGTTCTCCCCTACTAAGGACATGGCTACTTACATTAATAAAAACATTCACTATGTGACACAAACCTGCTCAGGAAATTCATCAAGAAAGATTCTTGCATACAGAACTAATGTGGTTTGAGCATTTATTTTTCTTCCTATCCTTGCAGTCACCTCCTTCCCTGTCCTCACTAGCCACTAGTCTCAAAGAATGTTCTTCACATGCTCTCCCCCCCGTGCCCTTTTTCTGCCCCAGTCCTAATCCCACAATCATCTGTCACATCCATCTCTTCACTCTCACCTGTCTGCAGATGTCCTTTGCCTCCTCAGAAAACTTATCAGAGTACTCTTCCTGGTCCTCCCGCACTCGTCTGTCCACCTCCTCCCGCTTGACACGTTCCTTGCGCTTGCGAAAGGGCGACTGGCCCTGGATCATCTCAAAGATCAGGCAGCCCAGCCCCCACCAGTCCGGGCTGAAGGAGTAGCTCTCGTTCTGGATCACCTCAGGAGCTGAGAGAGGGAAAAGTGAGCAGATTTAAGACTGAGAGCATTAAGCAGTCTAATGTAAGGAAGATGGCAATGAGGAAATGTTGAACTAAAACTAAAAGGGGGCAGAAGGGGGATCAGACAGTAGTTTAACCAACATCTATTGACTTTTAGCAGAGTTTTTCTTTTCTTTAAATGTCAAATGTTATTGTATCAGATTCTTACCCATGTATCCAACAGTACCCACTCTCCCTCGTATCGTCTCTCCTTCAGGAATTTGAACAGCAAGGCCCAGGTCTGAAATGCGGATGTGTCCTATACAAGAGGCAGAAATTAATGACCTTACTGAGATCATGTTGAACGCACAAATTCTGCTAAAATTGTACACTGTGTTTCAGAGACTCATAGAAAAACATTTTTATTTCCTATATATAGTAGCAAGTAGAGCAAAGGTCAAAGTGTCCATAGTGTCCTGACAATACTCCAGTTATACTGAAATTATCTTTTAGGATAGAAGTGGGAGAGAAAGAGAGGAAAAAAAGAAGGAGCTAACGAGAGAGACGGAGGACATTCATCTATTTCAAGATAAGACCAGGTAACAGAGAAAAGCTGATACAGGAGGATGACTCAGAGGAGAGAGCGTGATGTCTTTCTGTGACTTTTCAGCATATGAGAGACAGGGAGACATTCTGCTGTTGTGCTTGTATGCTAAAAAGTGAGCCGCTTACAAATTGCTCTCTTTATGTATTTTTAAGAATATTATGAAGTGTGGTGTTACATCACATACACAGCAGAAAACAAATAATCTCTAACCAACAAGTGTGGCTACATCTTAACCCACACTGGTCCGAGCTGAATAATAAGAAGAAATAACAGACGTACCGCGATCATCCAGAAGGATGTTTTCAGGTTTCAAATCTCTGCAAAAGAAACACACACACATATTAGGGAGTCACCCACTGATACTGTGCTTGTTTAAAAGACAGGCTGTATTTTTGAGAGCAAGGATATAACAATAAAATCCTGGATAAATATTTGTCTTCTTTATTAGCTTGTCATTTTGTTGACATTTCATTCTCTTTTTTTGCCTGTGTGCTTCTGTCCTGGAGCTTCTACAGCCTTTCGTGCAGATTAACAGATGGCTTATATCTTTATTTGCAAACCACTGTACTGAGTTATATTCCTGGCTTCAACGGTGTTGCAACAAAATGGATGTCTCTGAATTTCAGGCTTGTAAAATCAAAATCCCATCTCAAAAGTCATTTATACTGTACGCTAAGGCCTCTTACTTACCATTTTTAAATAACATGCCACTTCAAGTCAAACCACTGACTTGCCTAACATTCTAAGAAATGCACTTTTATTATCAACATGTGAAAACTAGGGCACTAATGTCAGCCTTAAACACACTGCTAACTGCAATGTCTACACAGCAGAGATCGAGGAACGCTATTTGTGTGACTACACTGTGTGTGGGTGCATGTGTCCTCTGAGAACATCAGTGTTTATATTTGCATTACTCCTAGAACCCACCGAGTGTGACAGGTGCACTACACCTCAGTGAAATCAGTATGCCAATAATCCGGTCACACTTCATCATCTAGGATTTTGTATCTGCACTCATCGCAGTCTTACAGGATGGCAAACACTCTTATGAAATATATCTCCTATTAATACTAGAGCTCGGACAAGTAGCTGGACATACAATTAGTTTATGGTTTAGTTTAGCCCTCTTTATTGGTGAGATTCATCTATTATGCCTTTGTGCTAAAGGTATTCAACCCATTTAGTGCTGTACTTCCAGCAAATTAGGGGACTTCTGAGAGACGATCAAAACAGTCACAATTAATGCATTTATGGGAGATATTCTGTCTTCTCTAGTATCAGTAGTATCAGTCGAAATTCAAATCTAACTATAATTACCGCTTTGCAGTTCTGTGCTTCCACCAGCCAAATTCATAAGAATGAGACAGATGTGAAGTCACTGACCTTGACCTTTGACCACCAAAGTCTAATCAGTTCATTCTTGTGTCCAAGTGGACATTTGTGCTAAATTTGAAGGTTGAAGAATGGGCTGGACGAACGTACAAACATACAACCTGAAAACTTAATGCCTCCAGCCATAGCTTTTGCTGGCATGGAGGCATAAAAACACTGGATCCCACATTTCTCACAATCTTTCATAAGACCCTCCCTACCTGGTAAAAACACATCTTTCCACCTCCACAGCCAGTTTCTAACATAGACTAACATAACCCTGATGACATCATCATCGTTATTTTCTCAGTCTTAAGAAAGCTCCCTCAGAGCCACAAAAGAATAATACAACAGTTCTCACGGGCTGAGTAGGACAAATACATTGAACTTACTGTGTAAAATTGGTGGAGTGCCCCTTTAGATTCTCTTGCACAAAAACAAGTTACATAATGTGGTTCTGGGACTGTAAACTTCACAGAATTATTCCTGGGAGACAGATCCTCAAAATACCCCTGAAAGGTTTTCCTACTGCCTCTATGCATAACACTGTTTGGAGATGGTGAAGTTTCTTTCAAACAGAAATTGAAAAATGAAAAAAAAACAAAAACTTAGTCATAGTTTTTGACTTCATTTCCCATCAACGCCTGCCCCAAACCACTGTTCATGTGATCTAACCTGTAGACTATCCTCTCACGGTGCAGGTCCTCAAGGCCACAGCAGATCTCAGCAGCGTAAAAGATGGCCCTCTGCTCATCAAAGCCGGAGTTGCCCATGTTGTAGATGTGGAACTTTAAGTCACCGCCGTTCATTATGGTCAATACCAGGCACAGCGCATCCTTGGTCTCATAGGCATATGCTAGACTAACCTGGAGAAGAAAGCAAATTTGGGGACGTGGGAATGAGGGAGGTGAGGGACCAGACAAGAAGAAGGGGGGCAGGAGTAAGCGTAAGGAGCAGTGGTAAGAGACAGGGCAGATAGTATAATTGTTTCACTTGGTTTGTTTAATGAACAAAGCAATCATCCATTATCCCACATGGAATGTCAAAGATACACAAAAACAAAGACACATCTATCATACATGGAAAACCAAAAGCTGCTTCACTACTCCTCGCTCTGCTACCTCATGTCATGTCTCTCTAATCCCGCCATCCATCTCTCTTTTCTCCCTGCATTCCCACTAGCCTTCCCCTCTGTCCCCTCCTCCTTCCATTCCCCCCCTGCGGGTCAGTAACACGCAGGGTACAGTATATTGTGTGTGCGTATATATGCTTTTGTGTACAAGCAGGATGTTGCTGCCTTCAGAAGAATTCCCATCTGCTATGGAGTATGTAGTCAGATCACAAGAGGGGATGGGAAAATTCTTTCAGGCCAAGTAACAGTCAACATCTGGACACACCTTCTCATTCAGTGACTTTCCTACTTTGAAGGTTGATACTGAGCACATCAAAAGTATTAGTAAATACATTACATAAAGAATTATGTGATAAGCAAAAAACGTGCTTAGGAAATATGCTTTTAATTTTAGGTCTTTCAAACCAGCCACAGTTTGCTTTGATTACAGTTTTACACACTTGGCATTTTCTCCACCAGCTTCATGAAGAATGGTTTTCTAACAGTCCTGAAGGAGTTCCCACATATGCTGAGCACTTGTTGGCTGCTTTTCCTTCATTCTGCACTCCAGCTCTTCCAAAACAATCTCACTTGGGTTTAGGTCAAGTGACTGTGGAGGCCAAGTCACATATTGCAGCACTCAATCACTCGTCTTCTTGTTCAAATAGCCCTTACATAACCAACAGGGAGGTGTGTTTTGGCTCACTGCCTTGCAGAAAAATAGGTGATCGTCCCCCTAAGCTCAAACAGGATGGGATGGTGCGTCTCTGCAGAATGCTGTGGTAGCCATGCTGATTGTGTGCCCTGAATTCTGAATAACTCTCCTACAGTGTCACCAGCAAAGCCTCCTCCTCCTCTTCTGTGCTTCACGGTAATGACCAGACATGCAGGTACCATTTGTTTATTCCTCTGCATTTCACAAAGACATGACAGTTGGAACCCAAAATCTTGCATTTGGACTCATGAGACCAGAGGTCATATTTCCACTGGTTTGTCCCATTTCTAGCACTGGTCCAAGCAGTTCTTTTCTTCTTACTGGTCTCCCTCAGTGATGGTTTCTTTGAAGCACTTCAACCATGAAGGCCTGATTCACGTAGTCGCCGCTGAACAGTTGATGCTGAGATGTGTCTGTAGCTTGAAATCTGGAAAGCAATGATGTGGACTCTAACCTGAGGTGCACTAAACTGGCAATTCCTGACGCTGGTAATGCTTTTTCTAAAATTTAATCTTTACAGTAGATGAATCCCAATTCCTTTATTTTATCATTCCTCGGTCCTAGATCCTCACTTGACCCAGAACTCGTGAGAGCCCACCATAATGAAGGACGTCCCAAAGCTCTCATTTCTGCTCTGATGACCGTGGAGCAAGGAATGAAGTGGCTGACTGGAAGGCCGGGGATACACAGGTGCACCCTTCATGGGAGTCTTTTATGGATTGACACGCCCTTTTATTGGAAATCAGTTTGTGATTGGGAGATTCACATGAAGGATCAGAGGAAAGGATGTCTTGTGTCAGTTAAAATGTATTTCCTTGTTCCTCTCTCGATGCAGTTTGCAATTAGGGGAACTGGGATTCACTTTCTATCTCTTTTGCAAGAGAGGCACATAATAACATACTTCATACATATAAGTCTCGCAGTACATAATAGAGTATAGTCTGTGAAATATAATAAGACCTAATCATTTAAAAGAGTAACATTTACATTGCTCCTGAACTATTTCTTTTATATGATGTTTCAAAATCATATGTGGGAGTAATGTTTTCAGCTTCAGTTCAGCTTCTCTTGTAAATTTTTCCAACCCTAAGGTGTGTAAAATAAAAATGCAGTTTTTCCAAACTCTCAGTGGTATACACAGTGTTGCCAAATATTTTCAATGGAAAGCAGCTAAAGCCTCCTGGAAAAGTCTCTAAATGTTGTGATGACATCACACACTAATATGCATACTGGTAACGTCATTATGTCATGTTTGCAAAGCAATACATCCATGAAATGGGTGTGCTGTCAGTCAGAATGAAACCAACTATGTGCATATTTCCAAAAGAACTATGTGCACACTGTTTCTACTATTGTTCATTCATAGATTAAAATATTATCACAATTAGCAAACTAAACAGAAGTAATGGTAACTGTAATATAACAATTGAAGTTGACAACCTGTAAATTTAATAATGCCAATATGAAAGGGTAAGCTGGTATGGAAGAATGAAACAAAAGCAATTCACCCTAATGATATAAAGAGATAGGCTAACTTTTTACATGCATGAACTTTGTGACTATTTCTGTCACCTGTTGCCTTACTATGAGAAAAATGTCATTGAGGATGAAACACTGGGAACTCTGGCATTTCACAAAAATACCCAGGATGTGCAGGATAGCTTCAAAGATAAAAAGATACATGTGGAGTGTACATCTGAATTTTAGTGAGGTCCATCCAGTTAACCTATATAAATCACAATGACGACTTCTTGTTACAGCATTTAAAATAAAACGTAGGGAGGACTGGCAGACATGGTCCTGTCTTAAAGAAATGGACTCTACATACTGTAGTTGAGCGGTTCTTGACATAATATGGATTTCTGCAGTAGCTGAATAGGACTAGCTGCTGTACACCAACACTGCCTCAGCACGACAGAAATGATGGTCTCAGATGCATTAAGAAAGCAAGAAATTCCACCAGTTCATTTTGACCAGGCACAGCTGTTAAGTGGGAACCATTACAGATGACCACCTCATGAAACTGATTAGGATGTAGCCAACAGTGTGCAAAGCTGTTTCTGAGGCAAAGTGGCCTGTCAAAGGTTTGGACACCGCCTCTGAACAGGCGGTGTCCAAACCTTTGACTGGTGCTGTACATGCTGTGTGTAAACGAATGCACAAATATGCACTACAAGACAAAGGAGGTGAATCACAACAGCCGATCTGCCCCCCAGGAGCTTAATCTTCCCAGGTAATGGACAGGGCAATAAGTCAACACTGGTCCTGTTCACTTGTTCTCTGATCAGATATTTTTTTTAATAACTCCATGTGTAATTACATGATCCAATAAAAACCTTTAAAATGACAATTTTGTTAGGCAAAGTTCTTGTATAGCAACAATATTAAACAAAAAAAATCTGACTGAAAGGGAAAAAAGTATTTCCATCCTTTAACAACTTTATCATATTGGTATCAGTATCAAACCATTTCATATGACAGCCAGCCAAAGCTCCATCACAGCAAGGGAGCTCGACCTCAGGCTCACCTGGAGGAGACTGTGGAGCAGGCTGACCTTACGTCTCATATACCACACCCACACACTGAATATGTGGAGGGATTTTTGGTTAAAACATCATGTAAGCTAACAGGATGTATTGACTAATAGTATGCACTGATCAAAAAGGTAAAGAAGAATAGCGAGAGAGAGAGAGAAATGAGGGGATTCAGAGAGCACTTGACTCTTCTCCTTGCTACTGCTGTTTGGTCAGTGTTGCTAGGCAACAGAGCTGCTCTCGTAGGTAGATGAAGAGTCATCAGTTCTGCTTGCAGCACCGAGAACGCACACACACAGCATCATGTGCCAATCCCAGGTGACAAGAGCTTTAAGTCTGAGGTTCTGTAACAAGCCCACTCCAACCACTGTGTGTGTGTTTGTGTGTGTGTGAACACGCATGCATGCCCATACACATGCTTCTCCTGTGACTCACTCAAAACAAGCATGCACAACATAGCTCACACTGCATCAAAACCCGACTAATCCAACACATAGTACAATTCTAAACAACCATTAGCTTGGAATGGAGAACATGGAGAGGCTTTCACGTCCCTCTCTGCTCTGTTACAGCTCAGGATGCTGCATCACAGGCTGTGCAGATAAATAGTCGCATTGTGTTTGACGGTGTACACATTACAAAGTACACATTTCACACAGGCCAGAAATTATCCCTCCAATCACTCTTCAACAAGTTCCAATAATGTTAAACAATAATGTTTTTGTCTTTGGAACAATCATTTTTAGAAAAGCAAAGCACTGAGCCAAAGTTAAGTTTTCCTTTCCAGCCTGAGCACTTTTTGTGCATATAGTTATACAAAATTGGAAGAGAAGCACACATCCCTAGTTTTCCAACTGGATTTAACAACATGGTTAGTTAAGCAGGATACAAATTCAATATCCATTAAAAAAAAGTGCTGAGAATAAAGAAACAGGCACACTGTATCACAGGTAGATATAGCTAGACCTGTAAAGTGACACATACCAACTCTTGCTGCTCACTTGTGGTGAGTTTTGACAGATACAACCTTACATTTAGTGAATATCACATACAAATGACTGAACTATTCCTGCAATGTGTCACATGTTAATGAACTGTGACTTGTAAATATCTGCCTTTCAGTACTTTGGTGCAGCATGGAAGAAATGAAAAGCTACAGTGACTCCCTAAAAAAGCTTAGCATTGCCAAAAACCACTGCTTACTCATGATTAGCGCCCAATTTCTAGAAATCCTCCATAGGAAAATCAGCCAAGGGCAAAGCCATGGTTAGGAGTCTGAGGCAGTACAGTGGCAGGGTAATGCTTTTTTGTTTTGTTTCGTTTGACTTTCTTCTACATTCAGTTGCTCTACTGAAATGTAATTTGTAATTCAATTTTTCATCAAAATTCATCGACAGGTTATGAGACAGCACATGCACCAAAGTCTTTCCCTGGTATTCATGAAGTTACAAAACACAGTGCTAATGGCCTTTGTCCCAGTTGTTTAGTTTGGATGGACAACCAGGAGGAGCAGCTTGAATAGCGTTTCCTATTGTGAAATTCTTTGCTCCTTAGATTAGTGCTTCCTCAGAACAGCCTTTGAAATTTAACAGCGAATTTTATTCACAGGTTACTGCTGTAACACACAGTGTTCATGACTACAGATGTATAGTGAAGCTGTAAGGGCACTGGAGATACTTAAATGAAACTAGATTAAGAGATAAGGTCGGTCATTTTCTGTATCATTCTCAACAATCCCCATACAAAAACAAACCAACAATAACTTGCCTGTACTCATGGTTAATGTTTGTCTGTCTCCAGCCTGGATCTCTATGCTAGCTCTCTGCTCTGTTTACAATCCACTAGCTCCTAATGCTTTCATGGAGATCTCACGTATGCACAGTTCAAATGCTGTAAAAACTGATGGCTGGAGCTTTGGGGGCAACATTTTTAACTAATATGCGGCTCTGGTGTTTCATAATAAAAAAACATGCCGTGCAGTGCAACAGTGTGTTTCACTGATGTTTTTTTTAAATCAGTACTGAACAACAACAATGAAGGTCTAATGCATAGTTGAATAAGCTAATCTAGGCTGGAGACTGACAGACATTAACCATGAGTAGGCAATTCATTGTTGGATTTAGTGTCTGTATGACCAATGTTGAAAATATTATTTATATATAAAATGGCCAGCTTTATCCTTTAGCTGTGACAAATATAAACACTTTAAAGCAATAATCTTTATCATGTGCTTGGTTCGCTTTTCAGCACACCATGTAGAGTTGACAACAAAACATTTAATTCTGGACATGCAGTGGCACCAAGTTAAATAGGAAAGAAAAAAGTCTACATGTATATGTGCATGTTATTTTTCCTCACAATTTATGGCATGCACCTGTCAAAAAGTACACAGATATCAGGAACATGTTAAAACCTCATTAAAAAAAAACTGTATGACGGCAAAGCACATTCCAATCAAATTTAAGAAAACATTCATGATTGATTAAAAGTTCACAGTATACTCCAAAAAAAATCTAATGCGGCATGTTTGCACAGGCAAAACATCAGGTTTGATACAAAAATGAAGCAGTGGATTTGGCCTCAATTGCAAGTTACACCTGCAATCGGTCAATAATGTAATATGATTCCACCCCCCCCAACCCCCTTTTTTTACAGATCTATCCCATCAGGCCTCTTTCCACTGCAATGCACAGGCTTTGTCACCTGGCACAGACAGCATTAAATCAACAACTCGAGTCACAGCGACAGTCTTAAACAGCTGATCGACAGCCTTTGCAAACATGCCATACAATTTAATTTGCAGGATCCTGGAGCCATAACAAACACTGCTCTCAGATACAGTAAACATGCACACCCACTCACACACAGATGCACAAAAACGAGCACAATGCTGATGAAAGGTTGAATAAGAAAAAGGTAGTACTTACTACAAAACTACTGTTAACTTTTTCTAAAATGCGTTTTTCGTTTAGTGCCATTGCTTCACCTTTTCTTTTCTTCACTCGTTTCTTTTCCAGCTTTTTACAGGCGTACATCTTACCGGTGGCACGTACTTGGCAGGCACAAACCTGGGAAAAAAAAACACAGCGAGGGACCATGATCACACATGTTTCCATAAAAGACACCCTTTAAAACTATAACTAATGGAAGTTAACATGTCACACCACAGATTTCCCCACCCAGCCTCAGCGGAGACAAGCAGTGCTTTATTAATTGAGTGTCAAAGGGTATTTGTAGCAGCTTAAATGATTAACATTAACATCTCACTTCCAAACTTAATAAGTAAAGGAACATAATAACACTGGTTAGCTTTTTTTTCTTGATTGCTGTGACTCTTACCTCGCCAAATCCACCTTTTCCTAGTACTCTATAATGTCTGAAGGTATTTTTGGTTACTGGTTGCCTGCAGGAGTGGAGAGAAGAGGGAGAAAAAGATAAATCCAAAGTCAAAATAAGAAGTAGACTAATATAACAGACTGGTTATGTTATTCTCTCAGACCACGTGATGTTGCAGACAAAGTAATCCTTTATATATTATTAATCCACCCTGATGGTGGGTTTTTCCACTCAGCCATTATGCAAAGTACCATCAATTATTAATACTCACACCGAAACACCGATTGGCAGCAGTGTTTTTGGGATTTGTTGCAAACACTGTTCCCAATACTGTGTATTACAATTTTTTGGTTCATGTTGGTTTTGTTCTTTGTAAGCATTTCATTTGCAATTTTATTAACATTATAGTTATTATTACTCAAACCATGTTCATTCATAATTAATTTGCTAACATGCTTGGACACAAAGGAGACAATGTGCTGCTCCTAGCAAACAAAGCAGTGGAATGAAGACAGTTAACAGTGAATGTTCTATGTGTATAAGGTCACAGATCTCAGTTTTACATAAGAGAGAGGAATGGTTTGCATGTTTGCTTTGCCAGGTGTGTAATCGGCAGTGAGTACCCACCTCTCCAACCATTTCCACTGCAGGAAGCGAGAGAAGTACATGGACTCCTGGTAGGAGGAAAATGGAGCGCCACTCAGATAATCACGAACTATTCTGCAGGGAGGGGAGGGAGACAGAAAGAAAGGCGGTGGTCATTTTAATAACAGGTTAATATAGATGTTGCAATGCACATGTCAGCAGAAAACCAAGCTGATGTAAGGTTTCTTGCAAAATCTTTGACAAAGTCAAACTGACAGCTGGCCTGTGTCCCCCACAGAAAGACAACAAGCACACACACACACCCTAAGTCACATACTCTGTGTGCATGTGTAGATCTGTGTGACTGTGTGTGGTTAGACATGTGCAGCTGTGTTACGCTTCAAAGCTGTTCTCAAAGAATAGACAGGAAAATGTCAGTGTCGATGTGCCGCTGTGAATAATGAAAAAAAGCCTCTGAAAAGACATTCCATTCATCTCTACCAGGAAACAGAGGATCTTGGGGAAACCTTTTTTTTTTTTTTTAACTGAGCAGAACATAATCTCATCTTACTTAACATGTCACTGTGGGTGTATTTGTCCAAATCTATCCAATTATGTTATACACAGATAATAGTATCACCCAAAAAACTTGAACTTTGTAAAATTCCTGCACTAAAACAAAGGACTGAGGTGGCATCAAAAAAAGTCTTCACTGAAGCTCACAGCCTCATCATCCCCCAACCATATGTCAACCGTCACACCATACAGCTGTTGGAACGCATGGCCAGCCTCTCATGTTGGTGCCCTTTTTAACTGCTTCGACCACAGATGTTGTTTATCTTAGACAACATATCCTCTTTAACACTACTGCAACAAACAGTCATGGGGTGAACTGTAGTGACACAAGTTCACAGTTACTTCAAGGTTTGTGATTAAAAATAATATTGCAGATCAGCAAAACTGCTGCAGTTTCTATAATAACTTAAAAACCACTGTCCTTGAGGTCGTTGTTGACAGATTAAAATACTCCACAAATCAGAGAAGCTTGGAGGTTATAACTAGTCCACTTGTTTGGGATCTGATGTTTGTCCCTTTCTCTTCAGTCAAAACATTTGAGTCAGCAGGATTTTATCCTGGATCTCAAGGTAAAACTGAAAGTATTTAACAAAACTTTCAAATTTATTCTTCTTTTTTTAATCAGAGCAAGGAGTCATGTAGTATTTACCAAAATCAAATACTACAGATATTTTAAAATCATTAAAGAGTAATTATTGTGCTACATACATTATCACCAATATATGTAGCATCTGAAAATAAGGAAAGTTCGTTTTCAAACATTAATCTCTAAAAACTGTCAACTGAAAACAGATGTCACTATGAAAAACAGTGACAACACAAAAATGTCTGACCTGACTTTCGTTAATTTAATCTGCAAAAAAACAATGAGATTCAAAGTCAAATTCTTTTACCAGATGAACTGCTTTTTAGCTACTTTAAGATTCAGCATTTCATTTAATTATTTGACTCAAAAGGTAAAAGTGGAGTTTCTGACTACTATTAAGTGGTACTGCTGGATCCCCAGCTTGGTTTGTACTGTGTACATGGCTTACATCCTGTTGTTGTTTCATACTATTGACCGTTGGATACCTTTATGTTTTTACTTGCACCCCCTAGTATGAGAAGTTGTAAATAAAACTGACTGCTTTGTAGAACTTCTGTTATGGTCAGTCTTCACAGATCATTATTCACATTAGAAAAACAACTCACTAATACCAATTTGATGCAGAGTTTCATACTCAATATCCAGCATAAGGCAAGCATCCTAAGCATTAGCATCATGACTGACATTAAATGGGCTGCACCACTAACAGCCATCTTTACGAAGCTCAAGGAAGAGTTCATGTATCTGCTTCATATAGCAGCACAGGGACTGAGCCCAAGGCCAGAGACCACTTAGTTACCTTAAGTGTACTGAGACTAGCAGCCACTCTCACAAACTAGTGATAACATTAGCTTAAACTCAGTTAGCCTTTTCTGTTGCTACTCCCATGTGACGAGAGGTCAAAAGCAAGCAGGGACATGCGATTTCATTTCACACTATAGTGAAAAAAATGGTGCCAGTTAGAAAGGTGGAAAACCAGGTTTTTAAAACTAATCAAAGCAGCTGATCCTGGATATAAGGTCCATCCATCCATCATCTATACTGTTTATCCTGAAGAGGGTTGTGAGTGGGCTGGAGCCAATCCCAGCTGACATTGGGCGAGAGGCGGGGTACACCCTTGACAGGTCGTCAGTCTATCACAGAGCCAACACCCAGAGACAAACAACTGCACACACTCACTCCTACAGGAGGAAGCAGAACCCACACAGGCACAGGGAGAACATGCAAACTCCACACAGAAAGGCCCTAGGTCGGCCCTGGCCCGAAACCCAAACCTTCTTGCTGTGAGGCGACATTGTTAACCTAGATATAAAACCCTAACCCTAGGAAAGAAATATGTTTCAGAAACAGAGCTGACATCAGCTTTACATACTCTGCCACTGCTTCTATCATGTACTCCAGTCACCTTACAGTATGTGAGCCTTATAAGTATACATGTAAATCTTACACCATGTTGCAGCGTAGCAAATTGAGTCAAAAATAAATGATACTCATTAATATGAAAAACATATATGTACCAAGCCCTAACTGTATTATGATCCCAAACACCGTGGTTCCAAAATGAAACAATTACACCAGCACTGCTTTTCTCCTGCTGACATATGTGATCACAATCTCTTCTGCCAACCAACAACACATGACGGAAAACCAAAGTTACAAATCCTCCTCTACCACTCAAACATGGAAGAGATACAGGAGATTTTCCTTGACCATATTTTAGAGTTACTTCATCACTAAGGAGGATGAGGAAAGCTGCCTGTGGTTACCAACAGCACTGGGGTGGCTGTTTTTGGCCAAACACTCAAGAGTAGAGAGTTTCCACAAGGGGAGCACCCTCTGCTGTGTAAAAGAAAACTGAATTATGTCATCACGGTTACTCTGTGCATCTAACAAGACAGGATCACAGGAGGAGTACAGTTTATCATTGGCCTCTGCTGCTCCTGATGCTCAGAGGGAGTTTGAACTAAAAATCAAAGCTCAATTAAAACTCAGAATTCCCTGCCAAATACTGGTCTTCCATGTAATACCAACACATACAGTGTAACTACAGTATGTTCATGGAACAGTCTTAAGCACAGCATATGCCTTTCCTCTGACTCAAGTTAGGATTTAAATCTGCTCTCAAACCATGGCTTAAATAACTAACATTTCTCAGTTCACACACACATGTTCACTTCTCAGGTCAATGAACTTGTCTTAGAAGACAGCTGGTCCTGGACACTTAAAGAAAGGGGCTCCAGAGAGACAGGAGTCCAGCAGTGCCAGGCAGACAGACACCGCTGGGAGTCCAAGTAAGCTCCACAACTACAATATGACTTTTGTTACACAAAGGGAATGGGAGAGAACAAGTAAAGGAGAGAAATATCAGCAGAGAGTCCTTTGTCAAGACACACAAAACACTGTGATACACATGTACTGAACAGCCACGCTCTACTCTTTACATAATCGTATGTTCCACTGCAGCAAAAGAAAATACATGAGTGAGCCGTTACACTTCTGCTAGTGGGCGTGTGGCTCTGCCAAATGTCACGTTTCCGCATGCAGCACCATGCTTTCCTACAGGCTTTCCCTCTGAGAAAGCCCTGGGTCAGAATTAGGTATTGGAATGACAAGAAATGAATCCCATTCAAAAACATCTGAGCAGTTGCTGCAAGGCTTTCACTAATATAAACACGTGCCTGTGTTTTGTACACTCTGCTCTAGCAAACACTTTCTTTCCATCTCTCCTCATTTTCATCAATGTCTCCTTTTTTGCTCTGCGAGTTTTCTAATTCAGCCCCTCATGCTGTACTTTCACATCACTTCATCGCGTGCTGTGTTTTTAATCCAGTCAGACAGATTCAATGTAGCACATGCTGTGTTTCCTACTTCAACAAAGTGTGGGGCTTTAGGTGGTATGATGCTGTGGACCTCCTAAGTGTCCATTTTACTACACAGAGGGGACAAGTTGAGATGCATGCGGAAGCAAAGGGAATTGAACAAAGAGCCCATGCCCTGAGATTCCAGAGACAGAAGGCAGGTTTGTGTTGTGCTCATCTTAGCACCAAGCAATGATGTTTCCATCTTCAGTCTAACACAAGTCGCCATACCCTGTTCAACTTCTCACTACCAGTGGTTTTTATCTCATGGTGTTTCTCTGCACTCCCTCTCTTTCATCCTAAGCACTGATGTGATATATACACATATGCATTTCTTTTATTTTGTTTTAGACTAATATACTGGAACAGCATTCCTAACAAATAAATCAAATCAAATAAAAAAAATGCCTTGTATGGCAGTTTGCGATGTGAGCCACAGTTTCTGTCAAAATTTGCACTCCTCAGATTTGACTGAGGTATGACACCTCAGTTAAATCTTTTTACATTCTTACATTACATCTTTTTACATTTTTACATTCTTTATAACTTACACTTCCTGAAGTAGACAAGTAAACATCTATAAATTGATTCAGTAATCATTGGGGGGAAAAGAGACAACTCCAAAACTTGCCTCAGAATCAAGCTTTCTTCGATATCAAAGTCATCCAGCAATCATCATGCATACATCCACGAGCATACTGCAGACAGAAAGTGCTAATAGATACCATACTTTAATAGTATTTATTAGTAACATAAAAGCATTGTCGCCTCACAGCAAGAAGGTTCTGGGGTCTTGGCCAGGACCTTTCTGTGTGGAGTGTGCATGTTCTCCCAGTGCCTGTATGGGGTTTCTCTTGCTACTCCAGCTTCCTCTCACAGTCTACAGACATACAAGATAACTGGTGATTCTAAACTGTCCCATAGGGTTGTGCCCAGAAGGGCATCCATAAAAACAACGCACTGAATGCAAGTCCACTGTCGTGACCCCTCCCCCCACACACACACACACACAACATAGAGCAGCCGAAAGAGGAACAACAGCAACCCACATTATGAATGTCTCATACCAGCCTAGTTTATTCACATCACATTTCTCCATAAACACTAAATTCCCTTTAATTCATTGTAGAATAAACACAACAACGAATGCCAACTGAAAAGAACTTCAGCCAACCAGCCAATCAGCACAGCACAGATATTCAGCATCATTAACTGCTCATACACATCAGAGGTGAGCCAACAAAAATAATGAAACGTAGAAGACCATACTGACATATTTAAAATAGTAATCATAGCATATACATTTCACAATATATCATTCAGCTTAAGTCCTGAGCAACAGAAACCACCTGAGACAGAGTTAAATTACTGGGCTAATACAAAGTTACATTGAGGTGTGTGTCTGTGTGTGTACATTTGGGTAATAATCCCTGGTCTGTTTGCTTCTCCTGGCTCTCAGTGCAGGAAGCAGAAACACCTGCAAGAGTGTATGTGTGTTTGTAAATCTGTGTTTGCGTGTGTACGGGAAACACTGAGGTGGCTGTTGTTTTCATGCCAACCATCCGGATGCTCTCTGCCCACTGCTCTTTTTTCATTTGCCTCGACTGTGCATGTGTTTGCAGGTTTCTGGATGCATGTGTGTGAGCGTGTGATATTGCACTCCAGGCGCCAGCTGCCTCATCATCACTACTGACAGGGTACACTAGTCCACACAGCCTACAAGCACACACACTTTTTGAAGAAATGGATTCTCTTAGTGCATTTTGACAGCTAAAATCATAAAGGAAAAAGACTTACTTGGTGCAGTCATTAAAAAGCTCCTTACACGGACTCTGCTCCAGCTTCTCCCGGCACCCAGCGACCACATCCTGGGGTATATCTGGCAGATGGGCCGCTGACTTGAGGGTTACAGAAAGAAAGAGACAGCGAGTGAGAGAGGCAGGCAGAGAAAGGGACAGAATCAAAGTGAGACATTGGTATAATATGGCTGCAAACCTCTCAAAGCTGAGAAAACAGACTGAAAAGTTATCAGTCAGCTTGTTTCGTTCCATATGTCTGGCTTCATCGTGATTGCACTTCACCTGTCAGGTCTGGCTTTAAAACTAACTTTGCCGGTCTAGTCCAGCTTATTTAGCGTATATCACATCACTCCATATCATACATGGAACATCTTTGTGTGTATTTAGTCACTGAAAATGTAAATATAATACATCAAGAAGAAGAACGTCAGAATAACTGTTTTAATGTATGTCATGCACTTCAGTGAACTGAACGACTTTATGATTTCTGATGTACTTTTACAAATGGGAACAAATTTTATCTTAAACTAATATCAAAATAGTTTATGTTATTAAGTGAGTGCATGTGCATCTTACCCCATTATTAAAGTATGTGTCTAAAACATTCAGTCCACAGTCCCGCCTCTTCTCATCAGGAGCTAGTTGGTACATGGCCTGTCACAGAAAACAAAAATGTGACAGCTAACTAATGTAAGCGCAGGAGACCAGGCTCATTCAGCCATCTTTAACATGTCTCCAAATATGGTCAGCGAGAGAGAGGCACCAGAAGGCAGAGAAGAAGGTTAAGACAGGGAGGAAGAGCGAAGGGTAATAATAAGAAACAAGAGAAAGAAATTAAAATACAAACGAGTGTATGACTGCAGACAAATTGATGTTACTGATGACAAAACATCTACTTAGTCAAGGCAGCGAACTGACAGCAGTGTTCATAGTCACGCTTCACCAGTTACATCTGTCACCTACCAGGATGACGCATCAGTTTTCACCCCATTGCACCATCGCAGATTGTGTTTTTCGACAAATATGGCTGTCGACGGGGAGTTGGTCTGGAGTTTGCTGCTTCACCTCGTGTGTTCTGTTTGAAAACAAACTCGCTGCAGAGGAATGGGACCGAGCCGTGCTAGCACACATCAGTCCGCAACAGGACTACCAACACCAAGCACTAAAATGTTTGCTTCATTTCATGTGTGACAACCAGTGTGCATATGTACATGCTTGTCAGCCAACATTAAATTAGATTAATGCAAGCTCTTATTAAATAAGCCTGATTGCCCCCCGTTTTCCATTCTCGCATACCTCTAGGGGACCTTGACACAAGCTTGGGCCTGTGTTTGCCTGCTCACTCAGGGGACCTGCCTCTGACGTGGGCTTGACCTCATGGAGGAGTGCATGGAGGAAGGGGAGGGGCTGTTTTCTGACAGCCTGTGTAAGTCACTAATCACGCCCTACGCCCATCCCACCCACCACCCTGTGCTACGGCCAAGAGCAGGCAAAGGGCCAAGACCTTACTTTCTTTTCCTACTCCTCGGCTCTAAGGGGCCCGAACTAGGCCAGCCCCATGGGAGGAAATCAAAGAGAGATGGAGAAGGTTAGAGAGACTGAGACAGAGAACCATGGACAGGCTAGTGAAGGAGGATGTGTCAAAGTAAGATAAGGGTAAGAGTCTCATCTTCCAACTCTTACCACAGCATCCATAAACTCGATGCAGCGCTTCAGCTCTGGCCTGGTGTCACAGTACTGACGGAATAACAGCCGACCAATCGGCTGCTTCTCACATAGACTGGTGTAGTCCCTCTCTGAAAGGAAGAGAGGAGAGGGAGACAGAGACAAGGGGGGAGACACATGAGGAAACATTCCAAGAAGATGCAGCTTCATACTAACGTTGGGAATCACTGCGCCACACTATTATGTTAATAGTAGTGTAGTTTATTTTTTTAGGGAATCATATTATTATTTTGCCTTCTTACCTAGAATGAGGAACAAACCCATGGAAAGCTTTACCGCATGTTTGTTTGCAGTTATTTAGAGGTACAAAAATATACATTCTCCACATTATAAGGATTAATACTGCAATTGTTGTCCTTGCATTTTACATCTTAATGTTTTAGAAGTAAAAAAATGACATTGCTGATAAAGAAACATACAATACAGTAACCCTTTCCTGGATAGCTTCTCTAAGTAACTTCTATAAGTCAAAAGATGTTCAAATAGAGTTTCCTTTTTAAAAATGTTGACACATGAACCAGGTTTTTGTTCCCATATTCTAAGCTAAACTGAAGCTTCTTACAATACTAGACTGTAAATTTGTATAAATTGTTATTTTAGGATAGCTTTCAATGGGAACTGGGACATGTTGTTTTATTTTTGCAAAACAGACAAGGGACAACTTTTACTATCCAAGACACAGGTAGATACCACTGTAACTTAAAACACAGAAACTCTCCAGGAACAGTTTTTCAGAGAGACTAATGAAAGAAACTGTGCACACCCAGTCATAGTGGAAGCGGCTAGGCTATCTGAGACAGAGCTCAAAACTTTAAACCTCTTAGTTCTATTAAAGGCAAAAATGAGCAATTTTATAAACATGCACACAGTGGTACAATGTGTATTTTAGTAACAGTAGATCAACTACCCATCTAAGAAGAAGTTTCAAAGGTATATTTCCATGCCTTTAAGAAAAACTATCGTCTTATGCTCATCCAGTAACTTAGCAGGTAGGCTAACCCCACGGATAAGCATACCTACACACTGCAGAGATACTGAAATGCCCCCAAAACTGCTAGATCTTTAAGTTAACTGCACATTTTCCTATGCTACTATAAGGATAAAACAAAACACACTGTATGTCTGTGTTTTCTATGCACATGTGTGTTAGCATGCTTTCTCTGCATACACGTCTCCTGTGCAGCTGGCCCCAGCCTATTAGGACTAATAGCGTCTATCTGAGTCATATTTCCTCTGGTACCAAAGGAGGAAGAAGACTCAAGACAGTTTCCGTTACTGGCTGACAGTAGGGGCACACAGACAAGATAAACATACAAACAAAAATAGGCCACACACATTCACATGCGCACTTGTGAACAGAGGAGGAAGAGGGAGAGCATGGGATGAAACTGAGTGCTGACAGCTACAGGACAACCTCCAACAGTAAATCAAATCTTTGCAACAGCCCATCCAGATGCACCGTTTATTACCAGCATTCCCCTCTGCTCTGCAGCTCAGTGCTTCTCATTCAAACTCAACACTTAAACCACAACAAAGTTATCACGTGGGTGAGCAAACAAAAAAGTGCAGAGATATGATGTTTTTATTGCTTCCTTTTCCAGTATGTTTTAAATTTGAAGAACAAAAGCTCTTTCAGCAAATGTCACATTATTTCAGACACATTGCCTTTCATGTTGGCTCACCAAATTGTTAGACGCCTGCTTTTCATTCATTCCCTGTCCAGTTTGTTTAGCTGTGAGCTAAATCAAATAGTGAAATAACAGCTTCATAGAGCCCAAAAAATGTGGGTCTCTCTTTACTTCAGCACAAACAAATGTGTTGACTTCTGTCATCATAATGAATCCCGATTGTCACTGGACAGTTTACCAACACTCTGTCTAATAAAGACACTACTTGTGCACGCCTGACTTCTGTTTACAAGTTGGTTTGTTTGCAGCTGGGCAGTATAAACCAACACAAGCCAAACCTACTGTTTCCACCATGGGTGAGAAGAAAATTAACTCTCTTAAGCCATGAATCAGACATGCACTGGAAGCCCTGAAATTATCTAGACATTACCCAGAGGAGCTGTACATGAGAAAGCAAATATCTGAGACAGCTGACCTGGATATTAAGCTGACTTCACCCAGACTTTACAAAAGTCTGGGTAAGCCTAAGTGAGCTCGTGTGAGAAATCAGTAGCATATAGTCCAGAGTATTCATACTGAGCTAGTGGCCATGTTAATGACGTTCTATCATGTGAAAGGCACGTAAAAGGAAGAAAACAAACAGCCAGTAGTGAAGAAGGCATCAACAAAAATATCTATGAGGAGACATGACAAGGTTCTGTAACTTCTGTCACTAAGAGCTAAGGCCAGAATCATCAGACAAACGCATAAACCAAAGGGAGTATTTCCAGCAGGTGAGAAGGCTTCTGACAGGGACCATCTCCTGTTGTGTGTTACATGTGTGAAAGGGCAACTCTGGATAAAGTCCAGGCCTGATAGCACCGGCATCGTCTAGATTTCATGTCTAAAAACATCATTGCACCAAAAGATTTAAAGGCACAGGGCTGATGCACTAGTTTATAGTGTCTCCTGATAAGGTCCTGCCAATCCACTGGCCATCAGATCCCACCCTCTGCTGAATCACAAAAAACTGGTCACTGTTTGAAGTGTCACATTTCAATTTGCACTAAAAAATAAATAAATAAATAAGTCACAGAAAGTGTTGTGCAGTGTTCTTGAAAGGACTTCCATATTTTTATTAACTGACCTTCTGAGCAACACATCCGACACCAAACTGATGCACATCTGTCAACATAATCCAAATTAATTTAAATGATGGCATCATGATAAAAGTAATACGTTTTATCATACACTTCTAAGCCATGTAGGGCAAATTTATTTTTGAAATAATTTGGTAGTACCGTTTTCTGGCACAAGCTTGGGTACAGCTCGAATGAAAAGAAAATTTCTTTAATTTCATAATATTAAAAGTTTTGCCTACATGTCCACAGGATTTAAATGTACTACAAATATATATAGAAGGACTGAAGCAACTGTCTGTATTCTAATACCAAAACTGCAAAACCAATAACTTAATTTTATGGATTGTATCCTCAGTGGCGACAGGCCTCTTCTATCACACACCACCTTCATGTCCCATTTAAACAAAAGAGAGTTAATGGGTTACTGAGAGTTACAGAATTACTAGTTACTGTGGTTCAGACATACAACACTGACTATGTCAGTGTCTGTTCGGGTTTACACTTAAAGACAGAACTAGTGCTAAATCACATGTATGTTTTTGCACATTCTTTTTCTTTACATTTTCACCTATTTACTGTGTGAAGTTCATAGACGGACCTTTTTATGTGACATTATCTTATGTTTCACATGAGCATGTGAGACCGTATGTGTGTGTGTGTGTGTGTGTGTCCAAGCTGACTCCAGACTCTAAATCATTTGAATATGACATCATAGAGCAGCATTACACCAATGAAAAATGTCTTCTTTGCAAACCTTCACCCTCAAAAGAAAAACAACAGTGGAAAAAGGAGAGGAAAGAGGGAGAAGGAGCGTACAAGATGATAAGGTGTCAGAGAAAAACAGAGCAGAAAACGAGAGGATTGAAAAGAGAAGAAAGAGTTGTAAAGCTTGTAAACTATCCTGGATTAGGAACTGTTTGTGCCAGTGAAGTAAGCTGTAATTACAACTTAATTAAAACCCCAATTTAGGCCCAGACAGAGTGAGATAGTGAATGTGCACAAAAGTGAGCGTGTGCCATGACTGCATGGGTGTTTGTGTGGACACTTTTGAGGCAGAGACCTGAGCACTGGCCAACCCTCACTGCTGCTACGCAACAAGAGCCGTGAGTCTCCAACCAAAATACCTCTGGTTTCAGAAGTGTGTTAAACAAGCCAACGTGTCTGCGCTGATCAGAAGTAATAGGTGCACATGTACTGTATGTATTGGATGGACACCAGAAGTAAGAAAAAAGTGAACAGGAAATGGGAGAGGAAGAGAGGGGGAGAGTGGTCTAAGGCTGGCAGACAAAGTGGCTGTGGCCCACATAATGTAATCTGGGCTTCCTAGATGTACGGTACACTTGTCAAGGCTAAGGTCAAATGCCTGACATTATCAAGACACAACAAAGACACTCCTATCACTATTATCTGCTGTGCCTGCATGGTGGACGGGCATGCACACGGGTTTGTGTGTGCACGCACATGCCTACACATCTGTGTGTTCAAGTACACAAAGGGGATTATTTTGATCCTGCACTCTGTGTGATAGGAAAATTCTGCAATAGCATCTACGTAATAGTGACGTATTTAACCCTCAGCAACTACCGTGTGCACACAGCTCGTGTTTAGCATCCTCTGCAAAGCTATGATCTAAATGGCAATGAATGTGTAAGACATGACAAGTACAATGCTTCTTCGCACTTAAGATGATATTATGTGCCATTTTTAAACAGGTAATCTATCACAGCTGGTGACAGAGAGCTTCAAGTTTATGATAATTAGATCAGTGAGCGATGATTTGTCATATGAAGACAAAACCACAAGGAACACAATCAACTCTGATTGAGAGATATCACCATAGGGACTGTGTGCCTTCAGCCTCCTTCCCTTCCTCGTGCCCTCTCTCTCTGTCTCCTGTCCCTGAGAGATCTCTTCTCTCTCCCCTTTGTTTCTGTTTTTCACTCTCTCACTCTAACTCTCCTGTTCTGCCACTCTTAATTTGCTCTGAAGTGGTGGAAAGAGGGAGGGAGAGTGATACAGATAGTGGGAGAGGGAGGCATGTAGATAGAAAAGAGGAAGGGAGAGTATGTGGGGGAGGGCAGCACTGCAATCTCTGGCAGAGAGCGCTGTGACGCACTATTACACACAGACACACAGACACACACACACACACACACACACACAGAGCAAGAGAGAGAGAGAGAGAGAGTGCTGTGGCATGCAGAGAACCAGAGTGAGGCGTTGTGGGGTTAATGTAGCCCAGGAGCAGAGCACTTGTTGTGTGGATCACAAAGAGAACCCTGACTCTACTTTCAAGTCAAACCTAGATGTAACGAACAGGAAGGAAGTAGCAGTGAAGACGTTTTGATTTGTTGTGTGAGCAGACAGTATAATGTCAAAGAGACTGAGATTAAGAAGCAGCTGCAAACACATTCCCTGAGTCAGACACACACACACACACACACACACACACACACACACACACACACTTATATACAAATACTGTTTCCTGTCCTCTGCATGAAACTCTGGGTGGAGACGGGTAGAAACAGGAAGGAAGTCAAATCTGAACTTCCTCCCTAAATCAGACCCACCCCAACGACACAGCATGGCACGTTATCTTTCTGTCAAACACACAACCCTCCTCATTTCTTACCAATAGTGCAGCGTAGCTCCTCACACTGGCTGATGTGCGGGAGCTTTAGCATCTCCTTCCATTTCTTGCTGCGACCGTTCCTCTTCCCTCCTCCACCTGAGAGAGACAGAGAGGGATTTATTGCAGACAAGTGACAGTTTCAACATTGCACTTGCAGTCTTTTAACCACATTCATCCAGTGGCATTTTCAACACAAGAAGAAGCCAAGTGTGTGTGTGTTGACCTTGCAGTGACCAGAGGCAGGAGGGACAGCTGGTTCATCTCACCAGTCGCCTCTATGCATCATGACAGAGCACGTGACGAAGAATGCCGACAGCTTCAGCATTCATGGGGCACACAAACAAAGCTGGCTCCTTCTCTGCACCTCATTCAAACTTTAGCCAAACATAACACTAATATAACATTCATGGGTTATCTCATACCCACTCCCACACAGAGTGGTGTTGGGTAGTTGTCTCCTCACATCAGATGACCCTAATGAGGAGGGCGAGCCACATCTAGGCAGGAATACTCTCGTCGGGGTCGAGCTGAGGGATGCACTCCTCGAGACAGACAAAACACCGACTGAACGAAGCTGAAGACATCGATAAAATATTCTAATGACATGCTACTTTGATTTGCTAACTAGTAACTGATATACACAGCAGACATTTCAAATGAAAAGAGGAAATCTTTGATTTAACTGGTAAAAACACAGCAAACATATGTTGGCTGCTTTTTGTTACATGGTGTTTGTAACATGTAAATTCTTTGGAATTTAGACTGTTGATCAGACAGAATGCGCTCTGGCAATGCGAGGTGGACATTTCTGACTAAATGATTAACTTAAAAATTGATATCCAATTAGTTTTCATCTTTTGTGGGCCATCCCAGTAGGCGAATGGTTAAGGCACATACCACATTCAATTAGTCCCAGTTGATGGGGACTAATTCATGCTTTGTTTTTATTAAAACAACAGGCAGTGGCTTAAACCTTTCTCTTTTAATTTTCATTTAGACTATAAAAAATTTGCTTTTGTTGCCAAGACACACATTAAAGCTGATTTAAACCCTCGACTATCTATGGGCACACATTGCTGATTTTCCCCATCACCTTCCATTTTTTAAAAACACTGAATCAACACACTGGCCTGAGCTCAAGTGAACCGCGTCAACTGTGACAGTTTAAGGACGACGGTGAGGGAAATCCTCCCTCTGAAGTTCACAGGACACCAGCTGGTCCGGCAGTGTCAACACAAACACTTACAGGGGATCACTGTGGTCAAACACCTGCACTATCATAAACCATACAAGCACACACGGCATACAGTTTGTACAGTGTGTTTGCTGCCTCTACAAAACACACTAATCCTCCTTCTGCTGCAACACATCTCTGTAGTTTTATCCTGTGTTAACGTGAACAATAGCAACCAAGAACACACTAGCAGCCAATTATCTGCACTATTGGGGATCATAATTTCACTGGATATGCAACAGAAGCACACACACTCAAAAAAAAGTTTTCCAAACTGTGTCACCTTGAATGACTAGACAGGAGCAATGTGAGTAGCTACACTCTGATGTTGTGGCAACAAAACCTAAAAGATCCCACTGCATTCACATTTTCAAAGTTGACAGGTATGTTCACAGACCAGTTCTGGGGCTGCAGGGTACAGACACACATATAATTACAGATGTAGACATAAGCACATGTACAAAATGTACTCTCTTTGTTGCAGTGAGAGAAAAAGAAATCAAAGAGGAAGAGCCACTAAGACAAATGCTGCAGTTAAATGTTTGATAAGGTATCATACACACTGTCTGATGATAGCCAGTTGCACCTGGCTGGTTATTTTGCAGTAGAAATTCTTGCACATTCGTGCAGAGAATGACCAATGAGTACAGTCACAAAAGCTTAACAAAGAGTAGCAAACTGTCAGAGATTAACTTCTTCAGGAGCTGATACTGTGAGAAGGAAATTTGAGTGTTTATGCGTGTAGTGCCAATAAAGGTTGAAAGCGACAATGGCTGTAAGCAGTTCAACGGACATGAGGGTGAGAAATGTCACCTAAACTTGAGGTCAAATGGAAAAAAAGGAAGAAAACACAGAGGGAAGAACTGAGGAAAATGATAAATCGGAAAAGAAAAAGGGGGATTTCATTAGCAAGCTATGGAAGAGTGTGTGTGTGTGTGTGTGTGTGTGTGTGAGTGAGAGAGAGAGAGACAGAGAATGTGTGTGCGTGTGCACATGCCTGTCAGAGCTGACTGGGCCGCCCCACCCTGTTTAATGTCACTCTGACGTCAAAGCCATGTGTGCAGGCCCTTAATGCAGACAGGATGGAGCAGTTATTTATTTAACTTTGGTTCTCCTCTCCAAAGGAAAAGGGCCCTCCATAAACATCAACTTCAGAGCAGTTTCGCTCATTCATAACAGCATCAGCCAGTGCTGAGATCATCGCACAGGATCTTGGGACAGGTCTGCGCATGTGTGGCAGTGACAAGACTCAAAAGAGGAAATGTTTAAAAACCTGCTTGACTACAGAACTGCACCTTCCTTTCCATAAAAGATTTGTAGACAGCAGGGTCATCCAGGTGGCGTAATATGTGACCAGCATGGTCTGACTCACATTGTTTTTCCATGTTTCCTGTCACTCATTACTGTCAGCCATCCAAAAAAGTAAAATGCTCCAGAAAAAGCCAAGAAAACTGCTAAGCAGCTTCGGGTCACAGATGGGTGACCCAACAGAACACTCAGCTGGTGTAAAATAATGTTATGTAACAAAGTCTTCTTTGTTAAAACCCAACATTGTAGTTTATGTATTTTATCATGCATACTGCATTTTTTTATGGTGTTGTGTGTTTTTGTATCATGTTCTGCTACTGAAAAGTTGCTAAACTCATTTTCCCTGTTCTTGAACAACGACGATAAAGATCGATCTAACGGTTTGTTATTTCTTAAAGGGAACACAATGCGGCATCACTGCGAACTTTATGGAGAATTCATAGGGATGGGACGATGCGACTTTTTCCTCGATACCAGTCAATGCACGATATAGAGTGTACGATTCAATTCAATCACAACGCATCGAAAAATTCAATGACAACAATGTGACTAGTTGCAGAATATTGTATGTTATTTCTCTCTTTTTTCCACTTTTCTAGCACTGGTTTGATTATGTAAAGAACAACCAGATATACTGACTTACATTCTGCTATTTACAAAAAAATATCACTGGTTTACAAAAACTACATGATATATATTGCTAGACAAAATGATACATTGTGACATTTTTGTATCGTGATATATTGAATTTTGATACACTGCCCCATCCCTAAGAATTCACTTTGTTTTACAGTATAAAACCAGCCCCATTCACTTTGTTTTACAGTATAAAACCATTTCCAAATGTCACAGGACAATCACTTTCCATCACGTTTATCTAATTTGCTGTGCTACTTACAGTCAGCATGGATGCACCACTAGCAGTGTCACTTGCTTTGTGTCAGAGCTGTATTTTCCTCCACTTTCAATGAATGTATTTACAGTAAGAAATGGGAGATTGAAAACCAGACAGTAAATAAACAAGCATGAAAGAAAGAGAGCGAGACAAAAGAGAAAGTATGTTAGCACAGCTTTTATTTGTACATCCCTGTCTGGAGTGAACTATGGATGCATTACTGAATGTGTATATTCATGGGTCTCTTCAGTTTCTGTTGTCTGCCCTTGTGAACAGTTGCAGTTTACACATGCTCTTAACGTAGGAGCAGGTCAAATACAAACACCATCCCAAATATGCTCCTCTCCCTTTCATCTCAAGTGCGAGAAGGAGCCAGACGGGAGATAGATCGCACACAGCTGAGTGTGGCAGTATCATCTCCAGGACATCCCCCTACCCTAAGAACTCTGGTTCATGCCATTTTCACCAAGTCAGACTTCAGTTTTATTTAACATCCAAAGGTTAAACTGGAAAAATAAAGCAGACTGTATCATAGAAACCTCCTATGCAACCCACAGTATGACATCTCAAATCTCTAAAAAGCTTTTAAACTGCTTTCTATCTGATGAATTCATCTCTGGAAACAGGTGAAACTAGACTAGACCGATAAAGTGTTCAGACCAGTATGTTGGCCAGTATTAGCTATTTGCTGATTAGTGTATGTGCTGGCAAATAAGAAATAGCAGCTAAAAGGACAAAGATGTAGTTGAGGTAATAAATAAACAGTGTTAACATTTAAAAAAAAAATTGTATAAAAAACTGCATTTAAATAACTCCCTATAGGCTGACAAAAATGTAACTGTCAACAATAAAAAAAAACATTTAATCAAACAGTTCAAGCTACTTTGAAGCAAGCATGGCAAAAATGCTTCCAGCTTCTCATATGTGAACTTTGGCTGCTTTTCAAACTTGTATGACAGAAAGAGGAAGAAAGAAAGAGCTATGAGAAAAGACAACACGGTTGTAATGGGAACCAGCATCACTGGCAACTACTTCTGTTGTGATTCCCAGCTTACTTAGATGTTATCGTGACCAGAGCTGAGTGGTACTGCTGTCTTCACAACCCATCTTTATTTTGCATCGCCATATGGGAGAAGCTGCTCGCCCATCTGACGAACACATCACGTGCTGACACTCAGAATCAGAGCAGCCACAAGACCAGAAAACTCAGCTCGTCTGTGACAGCGACGGGCCGACCAGGACGGCCAGCAGCCAGTGTTTATATCTGAGCACAATATGCTTCAGGCAGCAGACACACACTTAGAATGAGTAAAACAAAGATTCATTTCCTGCGCCCTGCAGTTGCAAAGGTCAAGGTCAGTGTGCAGTTAAAAAGAAACTAAATGAGAAAGATGAAAGGTCAAACATGTTGTCAATTAACTCCACTAAGTTTTGGCACTAACAGGAATTTTTCTAACTTTCCAAACACTGATAACACTGTTTACCAAGGTATTTTTGGCCAAGGTAATCATACCCTGAATATTTGCTACTAGCTCATGTCTCGTGTGATTTGACCCCACCCTGCAGCAGATGCATAGGTGGAGGTTTGGACTGGAGAGATGCAGTACCCTCCCAAAAACAAGGACTTAAATTGTAGGAAATGAGAGAGGGTCACACACA